GGGATATATGTATATGTATAGCTGATTCACTTTGTTATAAAGCAGAAACTAACACACCATTATAAAGCAATTATACTCCAATAAAAATGTAAAAAAAAAAAGAAAAGACCTAACACAGCCAAAAATAAAAATAAATAAATAAATTTATTAAGAAAAAAGAAAAGAAAAGAAGTACAAACTTCCAGTTGCAAAGTAAATGAGTCATGGGTATGAAATGTACATTGCGGGGAATACAATCAATCACTATGTAATATCTTTGTATGGTGACATATTGTAACCAGACTTACCTTGGTGATCAATTTGGAATGTTACAAATATCAGATCACTATGTTGTGTAGCAGGAACTAACATAATGTTGTAGATCAATTATACTTGAAAGAAAAACGGGGACTTCCCTGGTGCTCAGTGGTTAAGAATCGGCCTGCCAATGCAGGGGACCCGGGTTCAGTCTCTGGTCCGGGATGATCCCACATGCCGCAGAGCAACTAAGCCTGTGTGCCACAACTGCTGAGCCTGCGCTCTAGAGCCCGCGAGCCACAACTACTGAAGTCCACACGCCTGGAGCCCGTGCTCCGCAACAAGAGAAGCCACCGCAATGAGAAGCCCATGAACCGCAATGAAGCGTAGCCCCTGCTCGCCGCAACTAGAGAAAGCCTGCACACAGCAACAAAGACCCAATGCAGCCAAAAAGAAAATAAATTTAAAAAAAGAAGAAAGAAAAACAAACAAACAAACTCACTCATATAAAAAGAGATCAGATTTGTGGCTCCCAGAGGCAGAGGTTGGAGGAAGGGGCAATTGGATGAAGGCAGTCAAAAGGCACAAACTTCCAGGTATAAGATAAATAAGTACTAGGGATGTAATGTACAGCATGATAAATATAATTCATGCTGCTGTATGTTATATATGAAAGTTGTTAAGAGAGTAAATCCTAAGAGTTCTCCACAAGAAAAAGAATTTTTATTTCATTTTGCATCTATGTGAGCTGATGTTCATTAAACTTATTGTGATAATCACTTCATGCTGTATATAAATCAGATCATATGCTGTACTCCTTAAACGTATACAGTGCTGTATGTCAATTATATCTCAATAAAAGTGGAAGAAAAAATAAAGTATTAAAAAGATAAATAAAATAAAGATTAAATGCTTCCCTTGATGCCAATGCTTGTACTCCTTTGATGATAAGGCTCCCTTCTCAGGGGCCAAGGCGATGCTGACTCGCTGTGTACATGCTGATCTGTTGTTTCTCTTTCTTTTTTTTGAAACCTTGAAGGAATATATCACTGACTTGTTTGATGTTCTTTGTTCCGAAAAGATATAAAACTGTGCTGAAAACCATGCTTCTCTGGAGCAGTTCCTCAGAGTTATCTGAGAGGCTGTCTCCTGGGCTATAGTCTTCAGTTTGGCTCAAATAAAACTCTCTTCTATTCCTATTATAGACTGTTTACTGATTATTTCTGTTGGCAGGATGCAGCACCGTTTGTCAAATCATGGTTGAATCACAACCATAGGTTGCGTACAGATGTAGATTTTGGTAAAAATCAACAAAAGCTTATTGCTACATGGAATTTACAACATAGAGCATTATACATACTATTATTATTTGCACATTCTGTGCTGTATATGCTTTATGTATAGTAAACCACATTACTTATAGTAAACTGATGTATATATAATTTTTTTCTGGAGAGCTGGGTATTAAACATTTACTTGCATGTCATTATGTCAACCCCACTGGAAGCGCTGCAGACATTTGAAGCACAGCGCCCTCGCTCAGCTTGGCAGTGTCCAACTGCTGGAGACTCAGCCATCTCTGTGGCTACAGACTTCCATTGTGTCTAGTTGGGGTCCCGCAGGGGTCCAGTTGCTGGTCAGGAAATCAGCAGAGTGCCTAACAGTTCTAACTGGAAGAAACACAGCCCCTCATTTTCCTCTCCCAGTAGCAGACAGTCCAGGTGAAATGAGAAAAGGCTGTGCCTATAAAGCTTACAGAGCTCAATTTTAGCTATTTAAAGCTGAATTTAATAGAAAGGTCTGTCACAGCACCTACTGCCTGTGTGACATAAAGCTACACGTGCCAGAGTGGCTTTTGCAGACAGTAGAAATTGGAAATGCATTCAGAGGCTGCTTTTCGATGCTCCCGGCCAAGAAAAGTCAGTTGCTTCCAGGCTAGATGGGGGGCAATTGTGCTGTGGCCGACAGGTGCAAGTGGGCCCCTCCCCAGCAAAAGGCACTTGCTTTGGCTCTGAAGTAAACTCTGACACAGAGGTGGGTTGAAAGTTCTGAACAGTCAGGGAATTGAAATCATGTGACTAGTATAAATCCTTGTGGCCTTCCCTGTTCCTTCTCTCAGTGTCCCTGTGTGGGTCCCTAGTGAGAACACACATGGTCACGTGGTGGCAGATCCTAGTTTTCTAGGATATGCCAGGGTAGACCGAGTGAGAACAAAAGCTGGAAAAGAAAGAGTGGCTTCTATAAACAATCCAGAATTGGAGAGAGCTTGTTATTGCTTCCTCCAAAGGAGGGACCCCTAGCTCTCTGTCAGAGTGAGCCAAACCAGGGTGTGAGAAAGCTCTTCTCTGGGGGGGCAGCTCTGAGATAATGGCCCAGGAAGGCTGTCTCTATCTACCCTCCTCAACAGCAGGAGACAGATAAGATACATGACACATTTATGTGAAGCTTCCAACCAGGAGCCCAGGATCATCTTTTGTCTCCAGGGAAGTTTCTACTTTTTAATGATCTCTCTGAACAACTGGGGTGCCATTTACAGGGAAAATACCTTTTACCCTCAAATTCTCCATGCACTACAGAAAAAGGTGGCAGCTCACTTTTCACAATTTCTGATCTTTTCAGAGCTAAGTAGGTCACGGTTTCTTAACTGGTTAGTTAGGTGGATGGATAAATGGATACAGAAAATGGTTAATCTGGGTTTTTTTGCTTAAAATTAGGAATTATTCTGATTATTATTAGGAGAATCCATAATCCTGGTTCCTCATTTTCCATTTAAAATGTAAATGTTATGTAAATCCATAATCCTGGTTTCCAATTTTCTATTTAAAATGTAAATGAGTGTTTATATCCTGGATATTCATACTAAAAATGAACATGTCTTGGTTTTCCTTTTTACCACAATTGTAGACTCTCAAGTGTGGAGCAGCCTTCTTAGTTCAATTTCCTGAAGTGGAGCTGTTGAAAATGAGACAATGTATCCTTTTGTCTGCCTATGCTCTTTTAGCACGCTTCATATTGGTATAAAAGTGTAGAAGATGCGCATTTTGTAAACATTGTACACATAATATAAACATATTCATCAGGTTCTTAGGTTAAATTTGCAAAGTTCATCACTTGTTTATTTCCATAAAATTAAGCTGCAACAGATGGTACTGCTCAGAATGTACTTGGAACCATGTAAAGACCACTTTGCTATCAGAAGTCATTATTACCTAGAAATACTTATGTTTCAAAACTTTAATAATTATTTTCTCCTGAACCAGAGTCCCAGTCAACCCTTTACTGAATTCTACCTTCTTTTTCTTTAACTCTTATTTGAATATTACATCAAATTCATATTTTCATAGCCAATGGTGGAAAAGTTTGAAAATGCCAATAAACTAATTTACAATACAGATTTTAAAAATAACTGTATTACCTAGGCTTATGAAATAAAGTGGGTTTAAAAAGCTGAAAAACTCAATGGAAATGTCACCTATTTGAGTGCATTCAAAGTGAACACTCTAAAGTGTGCAGCTTCATGTGCAGGGGGCCTTTCTCAGCCTGCCTGGCTCCCGTGCCCCCCAGCATCCTGGGGGACTTCTGTAGTCACCGACCTTTGCATTTTTTCACTTCTCTCTCCCACTCAAGCTTGAAGGGCGGAGCCACCAACCCCAGCTTATGGTGGGCTTCAGAAGATATTTGCAGCATTGGTGTGTGTGTGTGTGTGTGTGTGTGTGAGCTCACTCTCACTCTGCAGAGCTGTAAAGTAGCACCCCATTTAGTTCAGCAGATTTCCCATTTCAGTGCTTACACTGAGAACTCTCTATTCACCTGTATGTATCGTGCATTGGGACCACCCTGTCCGGGCAGGGAGGTTTCAATGTTGATTGAAAGACACTCTTCTGCCCACAATAGCACCCCAGTATATGTAGCTTTATGTCGCATGCACAATAAATCCGTGATGGCCTTCCCATTGAATTCAGCTTTGAATATTTTAAAGGAAATTCTATAAGGTTTATAAAATATCAATATTTTGACCAATTATTTTAATTCAGGCTGTGTTGTCTATCCCAGAGTCCTTGTCTCTCTCATATTTTATTCTTATTGATTAGTTTGCCTGAATAATTTACAATATTCTTCTTGTTTTCACTCCTCTGATTTCTAGTTATGGTGTCTGTGCAAACAGGGCTGTGTTTAATCAATAGAGAGCTAATATATTTGACAGATCCAGCTGAGAAACGCCAGGCTCCCAAGTACTGTGTGATTGGCGGGAAGACAGGCTGCTTGGTCCACTTTAAGGGCTCCTTTTTACAGAGATGTTGGTGATAATCTCAAGAAGTGTTAATTGTCCCGAAAAGGGTGTCACAACTGAGCCATTAGTAGAGGAAGCTGGAGAAAAGGAGATGGGGTGCCCAGCCGCTTGCCTCCAGCCCTGGCTCCCTCCCCCTTTTTGCCTTCCTTTCTCTGTCTATGGAGCACTTTTAGGCATCTTCTTGGCAGACTCACAGCATAGCAGTGCTGGGGACACACATGTGGCACCGTCCCTGCCCCCCAGGACTTAGAAACTAGTGGGGAGACTGAATGAACAAATAACTGATGTGAAGTGTTGCCGCAGCTATGTGTGGGGCTCAAGCAGTGCTCAATGGGGAGCTGTTATCTGGGAGGGGCCACATGTTTGGTCTACTCTGAAATCATCAGAGATTGGGCTGAAGGGGCCCCAGCCTCTAGCGTCTACTCCTGCGCTTCTAAATCGTATACCCAGGAAAGCAAGAAAGGCTCTTTCATGCAAATGTTTATTAAACAATACAAATATGCATCTAATGCTCCACTTGATAAGAAATGAAACCAATCTATTACCTACAATATAGACAATACAAGAGGACAAGCGAGCCCGGCTTCCCCACGCAGCGCCGCCTCGCTCGGCCACGCTGGGAGGCCAGGCGCGGTTCGGGTTCCGCCGGGTGGAACTGCGGTCCCGTCAGCGGCCTCCCCCTTCGCTGAGGACGGATTTCAGGAGGAAGCAGGGCAGGAGGAGGAGAACATTCCCCGTGAGCTGCGTTCTTGGTCCATTAGAGTGTGAGGCGAGAAAGTCTTTCAGGTCTGGAAAAAAATCCCGAGAGTGTATGAGACATGCTGTGGCAGGCTTGCTTTAAGAGAGTGAAGCAGAGATGTCTGCACCTGCTCCGGTAAAGCCCTTTTCTCGCTGGGCCTCCTCTCTAGGCCTTGCCCGGCGGGCTCTGCATCAGCCGCGGAGCCTGAGCCGCGGCTTCCCGGCCACGAGGAGGGCAGCGCGGAGCGCGGAATGAAGCCCAATGTGGGGAACGCGGCGCAGCTCCAGGAAGACGTGCTTCCCTTTAGCTTGTACCTTCCTCGCGCTGCGGCTGGAAACAGGAATTTTTGTGTAACCTGGAGAGCTGAAGGAGAATCAGTTTGCTGTTTTTAAGGCTCACAGAGAAACAGCCCTTGAGCCCTTCTCATCTGGCACATGAGCTGGCCAAGGTGATCGTTCAGAGTTCCACACCCGTCATTTAGCAATGCAGGTAAGTGGATCTGATTTAAAATAAAATAACATAAAATAGCTTGCACCCATCTGTTGCAAAGAAGGTCCAACTTTTCCCCCATGAGCTCTGACTCTATTTCTCTGACTAGGGACCACTTATTGAAGAGAAAAGCACCCATCCCTACAGCAACGGCGGATATCCCCACAGAGGAAGTTACAAGGCGCAGCTGCAGAGCACTGGGGACGATGCCCCACCCGCAGTGCTCACCACCCTGCTGAGGCAGTGTGGCTCCTCCACTGCAGGTCTCACTCTGAGCCCCAAGGCTCTGTGCGTCTGGCTTTCTATATAGCTAGGACCCCAGCCCAAAGGTGTTGAGTGGGAATCTCTGGGGTAGTGAGACGGGGCAAGGGTCGAGGCCAAAGTCGCCGGTGGTGAGTGGCTACCCTGTGAAGCTGACAAGCCCCACAGGCATGGCCGCAGGCAGGGGCACAAACTCCACTAAACATTCTCACAAGCAAGTCTGGGCTGGATGTGGGGTCAGCTGGGCAGGGAAGTATGCCGATGAGGAAAGGGCCAACTTAAAGGGACCTTTTCCCCAGGGCTGATTGGCAGAAGCCAGCCTTCTCTTCCCCCGACAAACCCTCCAAGCACTGTCCTCTAGGATTCCTCCAGAAACTGCCTTCTGAACGTGAAAACCTGTGGTGAGCATAAACCGTCAGAAACTAATGAGTAATGATGAAGACGAGCCACCGCAGCAGGGACCTGCCCTGCATCTGTCCGTAGGTGACTACGGTGGGCATGTCCAGGAGGCCACGCTCAGCACAAGACCGAGGTCAGGCGCACTCCAGACCTGGGCACCATTCCCCACACCACCCCACATGGGAGAGGGTTGTTCCAGAGTACTAGAACCCCACAAAACAGGAACCTTAGCATGTGGGCTCAGAGGAGGTTCCAGAAAAGCTGATGATAAAACAGGTGGTCCCAGCGTGAGAATCAGCTACAGGTAAAGAAGGGGTCAGCCTGTACTGAGCTTCACTGATGTTTCCCTGGTGGAAGGGAACAGGCTGCCCACAGAGAGAAGGATTCAGGCCCTGTTGGCCGTCTTTTCTTGAATATGAACCTAAAGGCCATTGTTATAGTCGGCTTTGTGAATTTGGTTAGACGGAGTCCATCCCTCAAGCAGGGGTCCCCAGACTGGGGCTGTGAGCACCATGCAGTGTCCCTTCCAGGGGGCCCAAGGTCACCCATTGAGCTTAGTGAGAAAATATTAGAACTTCCACTATATACTGATAGTAAAAAATTAAAATAAGCTTTATTAATATTTACTGTTTATTAGAATCTATGAAACCAATGGTTCTATGGCTTGTCCTTATTTTATGTCATACCAAAAAGGAAACTCTGCTACCGATGGATGATTTACTATAACCTGGGATTTTAATTATACACTTATCACAAGGTCTCTTTTTAGACTTACGCAGACATAGAAGAGATTTTTATCATTAGTTTAGTCTTAGGCATATATGTAAAGGAAGATATGAGTGATATCAAATTTGTGAATGCTCAGCATGTGTCACTGTGTCACCACCACTGAGTGGGGATTTAAATGGAGGCTACCGGGATGAGGATAATATCTTGTTTCAGTATGAGTTCCAGAGCCAGCATTCCCCAAACTTTCCAATTTGAAGATACCCCTGAATGCCCCTGGAGAGCCAGATGGTTTCCTCTCTGTGATGACACCCAGAGAAGCTCCCCCACTGAAACGGCACGTATCATGGGAGAATGTCCCAGAGGGATCTGACAAAGGGCCTGCTCTCTCCTGGAAAGCACGCCCACTGCTGAGAGCCAGCTGGGGCCAGGACCTAGGAGGGCCATCCTTCCAATAGGCCCACAGGCTGGCTCTGTTCGTTTGCTTGTTGGTTGGTTGGCTGACTGCTTTGTGCCTGAACTGTATTTTTTTTTTAATTGGGTTTGAAGGTGAGGCTTGACCTGACCCCCACCTGACATTTACATGACCTGTTTATCTCTGAAGACATTCGAATTTGCTACTTCACTGTGTCATTATTTAGACTCTAAATTTTAGAACATAATGGTTCTTGATACTAAAGAAATATTTAATTCTTTGGGCTGTGTGTAGGAAGAATCACCCTCTTGGTAAAATGAGATCTTGGGCTGAATCAAGGACTGCTAGCTCCAAGGTTGTCATTCCTCTTGATTTTTTTTTTAACTCTAATTATAACAGTGCTCATCAGTTAATAGTGTAATGGGTATGGTTCACAACCTAAAAACCACATTTCAGTAAATTTGCATATAAGTGCTAGATTATGAAGTCATTTTTTCTAACCTCATTGTATTGATGTGAATACGGTTGATGGTGATGATAATAAAGTAACAATATTTTACTTTATGTATAATATGAAACAGATATAGGGCCTTTTCATCTTAACAAACCAATGGGGTAAATATTGCTGCTGTGGAGACTGAAGCACAGTTATTTAACCTTTCATAAAGATCATGAACATTACAACAAGTATTTTGGGGGGTTTGAACAAGTATTTTGGGGATTTCCCATGCTTTTTTTATATGCCACATTGCCTCTTTACATGCAAAATTAACAAATGTAAATGAAGAAAATGGTAGAATGATAGTTAAACTGTCTTAAGCATATTGTATTTAGAGCACTGAAAACTGATTGTTTTAATGTAATATAATAGTAGGTAATAACTTATTTGGTGTTTCTTCTTTGCTATTATATTTGGAACTAAAAGGTCAAAGGTCTTCCATTCAATATTTATTTAGAATTATTATGCACAAAGCATTGTTTTAGGTCATGGAACAGAAAAAAATTATAAAATAGCTCACACCAACAAACAAGATTACTTTGCATAAATTTTATCCTGCCCTGCACCCTCACAGGGCAGGTTATCCTGCCCTTGAAAAGATATTATATTGGGACTAAGAAAGCCTGTCAAACTTGGACCCATAGAGTATCAGAGCAGGGAGAGCCCTTGGAGATCCTTTGGCCTTTGGGTCCCTGGAGGAGCCAGAGGACCACAGTTTTGTAGCATGTTGTTATCTATTTGTGATCCCCCATCCATATGTGTCCTTTCACAGTAGAAATATATTGTAAATACAGTTTTCCATTCTATCTTCCATATACTCTTCAAAGTCATCATAATCTTCCATTAAAGGAGTTAAAACATTTACTTACCTATTATTCTGCTGTTGGATTTACAACATGGTCAAATTTTCAATATTCTAAATAACACTATCAAAAATATTCTTAAAAAGCCCAGAAATAAACCAACACATTTATGGTCAATTAATCTATGACAAAGGAGACAAGATTATACATTGGAGAAAAGACAGTCTCTTCAATAAGTGGTGCTAGGAAAACTGGACAGCTACATGTAAAAGAATGAAATTAGAACACTCCCTAACACCAAACACAAAAATAAAATGGATTAAAGACCTACATCGTAAGCATGTATACAATTAAACTCCTAGAGGAAAACACAAGCAGAACATTCTTTGACATAAATCACAGCAGTATTCTTTTGGATTTGTCTCCAAAAGCAAAGGAAGTAAAAGCAAAAATAAACAAATGGGACCTAATTAAACTTAAAAGCTTTTTTACAGAAAAGAAAACCACTGACAAAAAGGCAACTACTGAATGGGAGAAAGTATTTGCAAATGATATGAGCTATAAGGGGTTAATATCCAACATATATAAACAGCTCATACAACTCAACATAAAAACAAAACAAAAAACCAGATTTAAAAAAATGGGCCGAAGAACTGAGTAGACATTTTTCCAAAGAGGAAATGCAGATGGCCAACAGGCACATGAAAAATTGGTCAACATTGCTAATCATCAGGGAAATGCAAATCCAAACCACAATGATATATCATCTCACAACTATCAGAATGGTTATCATCAAAAAGAACACAAAGAACAAATGTTGAGAATGTGGAGAAAAGGGAACCTTTGTACACTGTTGGTGGGAATATAAATTGGTGTAACCAATGTCGAAAATAGTATGGAGGTTTTTCAAAAAACTAAAACTAGAATTACCATAAGACCCAGCAATTCCACTCCTGGGTGTACATCCAAAAAAAAACAAAAACACTAATTCAAAAAGATACATGCACTCCAATGTTCATTAGCAACATTATTTACAATTGCCAAAGCATGGAAGCAACCTAAGTGTCCACCAACAGATGAATGGATAAAGAAGATGTGATACACACACACACACACACACACACACACACACACACACAGGAATACTACTCAGCTATAAAAAGAATGAAATTTTGCCATTTCAGCAACATGAATGGACTTGGAGGGTATTATGCCTAGTGAAATGTCAGATAGAGAAAGACAAATACTGTATGATATTATTTATATGCAGAATCTAAAAAACACAACAAACTATTGAATAAAACAAAAAAGAAGCAGACTCACAGATATAGAGAACAAACTAGTGGTTACCAGAGGAGAGAAGAAAGTGGGGAAGGGCAATATAGGCGTAGGGAAAATAAAAGGGTTATTATAGGATTATATGAAATCATGTGTGTGAAACTTCTGAAAATTGTAAAGCACTATAGAATTTAAAGAGTCTTTCATTCAATTAAAAAAAGATATATTTAGGGCAAATCTACTCAGTGGCTCAGAGAAAAATTCAATAAAAAATGTGATTTTGCCAATAAAAGTTCTGGTTGTATCCATAATAAAATTTTAGTGTAAAAAAAAAAAACACTCCAAAACAATATCATCTTTAATTTATACTGATAATTATAGGAAGAGTCTGGAATGGTAAAGTGGTTAAGAATCAGACCCTGAACGCTTGTGCACTTTAGGTGGGAATGTAAATTTGTGCAGCCACTGTGGAAAACAGTACGGAACTTCCTCAAAAAATTAAAAATAGAACTACCATATGATCCAGCAATTCTGTCTCTGGGTATCTGTGCAAAGGAAATGAAAACACTAACTTTAGAAGGTATCTGCATCTCTGTGTTCGTTACACATTATTTACAATAGCTATGGAACAAAAGACATGGAAGCACCGTAGTGTCCATTGATGAATGAATAGATAAAGAAAATGTGAGCTATATACATATATGTATATAAAACAGAATATTATTCAGTCATTAAAAAAAGGAAATCTTGCCATTTGCAACAACATAGATGGACCTTGAAGGCATTATGCTAAGCAAAACAAGTCAGACAAAAAAGACAAATACCTCTGATTTCACTTTTTGTAAAATCTAAAAAAAAAAAAGAAAGAAAGAAAGAAAAGAAAAGAAAGAAACCAAAATCAGATTGGTGATTGCCAAAGGTGGGGAGCGAATGGGTGAAGGGGGTCAAAAGGTACAAACCTTCAGTTATAAAATAAATAAGTCCTGGGGATGTAATGTATGACATGGTGACTATAGTTAGTAACACTGTAGTGCATATTTGAAAGTTACTAAGAGAGTAGACCTTAAAAGTTCTCATCACAAGAAAAAAGATTATCACCATGTGTGGTGATGGAGGTTAACTAGATTTGCTGTGATTATCAGTTCTCAATGTATACAAATATCAAATCACTGTGTTGTATACCTGAAACTAATATAACGTTATATGGCAATTATATCTCAATTTTTTAAAAAAGTGTTTGACATAGTTTAGGGATGTGCTTATGTACTCTGTGAACAGTAGCAATTTTATTCACAGATTAATATTAATTACATATTAATTATCATTATGTCAATGTTTATATCAATATGCCATGGTATGTTAATTTATATTTTAAAATAATTTAAATGTTATTGCAAAATACCATATTGTTTCTAAATTAACAACTAACCTCTGTGATTATCTCTTAAGGAAAAAAAAAAACAAACTGTAGGAGTTAATCGCTCTAAGCTTCAGTTTCCTCAAATATAAAAGGGATAATACCTATTTCCTAGGCTTGTTATGAGAATTGAATAGGATTAAGTGTATAAAGTCCCTGAAATATACTGAGAGCTAATAAAGACAGTTATCATCATGATGATTGCCATTCTCACATCATCATAACCATCTATCAGTGCAGCTGCTATAATTATCATCGTCATCCTCATGTCATCATAACCACTGTCAACACAGTCACCACCGCTGTCACCTGCGCTGAAGCAGAATCAATGGGTCAAAGAGTACAAAAGGTAACTGCCCTTTCTGCACCTGACAAATTACTCTGAAAGATGACTGCACTATTTTGTTCAACTTTGATGAGCAGAAGCCACATTTTCAGAGTCGCTGTCACTGTCCTTAGCGGACAGCAGTCCCAGTCTTGGATGTTTCCCAGAATGTGAGCAGACATCCTAGAACCCAGTTCCTGCTCTGTTGCTTCTGAACCCAAGCTGGCCTTGCTTATTGAAGATTGGAAATGATCACAGCTAGCCCTTTCCCCACATCACTGCTGGGGGCACCAATGACAAGTGGGAAATGACTTCACCTGTAGGACTACATAGGCACCATCTGCAGTTCTGATGCTTATTACATAATTTTGTCCTCCATTCTCTGGGGCGCTGAAAGAGCAGCTAGTGAATCAGGGGCACAGGCCCAGCAAACAGAGAGCCCAGTAGGAGAGGGAGGGAGGGAAAGGATATTGTACTGTAATCACACCCCCCCCCCACAGACACTGCGTGTACCAGGTGGAGCTGGCTGAGAAGGGGGAGCAGCCGTGGGGTTGAAGGGCTGCACCTTCACTAAGAGTGTCACTAGACTGCTAATCCAGGTTGCAGAGGAGGGAGGCTGAGCCTTCATTAAGTGTGTTCCTCCACTAGGGGCCCCACCCAGGGAACCCCACCAAGAGGGCTCTGCCGCCAAGAGTGCTGCCCCTCTCCTGCAGTCCTGACAGTGGACAAGGGGGTGTGAAGCGGGGATGAAGGTTTGTGCTACCACTATGCGTGCCCTTAGATAGTGGAATTTGCCCAGGGTTGACTGTAGTGCAGGGAGAAACAGGAGAGTGGGCCTAAGGGCTTCACATGGAGCACACCCAGGGCTGTAAAGAGGGCTGAAGGGCTGTGCCTGCATTAACTGAGCCCCTCACTGCTGTCCCAGCCAGAGCTTACTGAAAAGGCAAGAGGGCGATGGAAATGGAGTGCCTTCTTTACTTGTGTCCCTGGTCCCTGCCCAAGACGATGGCTCAGCAGCAGAGCATTTTTTTGTTTTCTGACTTCGGAAGTTCACGTTCCTTACTTAGTTTTACAAGCAAAACATTTGCATTGAGTTGGGAACTGCTCAGAATCTTCATAAATGCATGTTCACCCTGCGTGTTCTCCACACCCCACTGGCTTTTATGTGGCAGGTCTGAGCTGTGGTTACCAGGCGCCTTCCTTCCCTGGGAGCACTGACGGGTTGGCCTTGAAGGGCAGCACCTGGCCATGCAGGACTGCTCCCGTCCTGCTCCAGCATTCCCTCGCATTTCACAGGTGAGAAGGTGGTGTTGGCTTAGTGTAGAGAAATACCTGTCTGCCAGGCGGGGCTCTGCTTACCAGCTTGCGCGCTCCCCGAATTCTGCTCTCTGTAAAGGACGCTTAAGGACACTGTTTGGACATCACGTATACACTCGGCAATCGGGATATGGGACGCTTAGGAATAAATTTTTATATGACAGTAATAGTAATACACTGAGTGATTCACGACGACTTTCCCGAGTCATGAATCGACCCAGGTTGCCCATGCCTGGATCGTCTGGCACAGGGAGATCGCTATGGATCTCTGGGTAGGAAGGAGCAGCTGCCCCTGTGTGTGGGTTGTAGGCACAGTACGCGGGTCTTCTTACCACAGCGGCCGGGTGTCTGTAGCGGGAGGCAGTGCAGGGCCGCAAAGACACACCTGCAGAGGCGGCAGCCGCGGAAGGTCCAGGCTCCGTGCCCCAGCGCGCCGCATTCGCTGCGGAGACGCAGGCCCGGCGTCAGTGCGCGGGCGCGCGCGCCCACGGCCCCGCCTCGCGCGCCCCCGCCGCCCGCTGCGCCCCCTCCGCCCCGCCCAGCCCGTAACCTGCTCAACCCTCCGCCTACCTGTGCCTCTGGTCGTGCTCGCAGTAGCGGCCGGTGAAGTGAGCGGGGCACACGCAGAAGCTGCCCAGTACGCAGGTGCCGCCGTTCCGGCAGCAGCGCGGCCGCGGGGGCGCACCTGTGGGGGAGGCCTGGGCGTCAGCGCCGCGCGCGGCCCTCTGCATCTGAGAAGCCCGAGGAGGGCCGAGTAAGATCGCCGCCGGGAGGCAATAAAATTGGCTCCCTGCTAAGAGTGTTTGCTCAGGTAAACCCTGCTTGTTAACTTAAGGATTAAAACACGAACTACCTGGGGTGCCGGCGGGTCAGGAAGGAGCCGGAGCCCTAAGACAGACGGGAAACCCTGCCCCCTACAAGTAGGGTGTTCTTTCTTTCCTCCTTTCACATGTTAAAGTTAGGCTGTGACTTCCCAAGATGGTGATTAAAGACTGGCCTCTCGGGCGGGCGGGGACCACCCACGGGTGTGAAGAAGGCAAAAAAAAAAATTTTTTTTTTAATTCCACCACTGCCCATCCACGCCCCCACCTCCACTGCGGGCCCCCTGGGGACCAGGGGTCTGGAGCCTGAGAGTCTGCAATAAGACTAGCAAAGGTCCGCTATTATCCTGGGTTGGGATAGTTGCTTTAAATACATTAAAATCACAGTGCTCTGGACCCGCAGAAAAATACCCGTTTAAGAGCGAACGCAACGTTTTACCAATAAAATAGTAAAACATTTTTCAGAGTAAAAGAGCACCTCACTAGAAAATATTTTTTACTTTATAAGGTATCATTATTTGAAGATGGTAAAATGTTTTATAAACTCAGAGTTCACTGACCGAGATGACCTTTGTGGGCAGCATCGCGACTTACGCTCTCGGAAAGTCCGCGAGTAGGGCAATGAACCCTGCGGCCTCCAGCCCTCCGCGCTGTCGTTCTCCTCCCTAAAATTATTCCAGGTCCAATCGAGTGTTTTCTGCTGGAGCTTCTGAGCTGTAGCACTGTTGATTCCTTCTCTACTACCTTTATATTTCTCTCTTTGATAGCCTTAAAAAGTTAATTGAAAATATGAGACTGATCATGATTGAGAAGCAAATATGCAACAAAAACTGAGACTGTAAACAAAATGGTTCTTACTGTTTCCCACGTGGATGATCTGTAATGCCAAACTGATCATAAACAGAAGCCTAGAATATTTAAAGAAAGTTATCAAAGTTTAAAATATAAAAAAGTATGAGCAGAAATTTATATATGTATAAGATGTAATGCATTCATATACAAATATATAAGTATATAATGTGTAGGTATATTTTTAATGTACAATAAATATTATGCAGTCATTTTGTAACTTGTAGTTTTAGATTAATGTTGTCATCCCGTAGAAAGATGTTGAGACCAAGAGTGTATGTGCACCCCTTTAAGAGAAGGAACATCGTGCATGCATTGCAATTTATTCAGGCTCTTCAACACCCCTCTTGGCTCTAAGATCTAGATGATCTCTGTTCTTACCTAACAGAGTGGCTCCGGGTCATTTTCCTACTGACACGTCTGGTATAAAAGTCTCCTTCTCTCATGGATACATTGAGGATCTCCAAGGAAGCTGAGTCTGACAGTTTTTGTATTTGAAGGTGTCTTTACTGCAGGTCCTGGTAGAACTGCCTCAGGAGCCAAGATGGATAAGTACAGAAGACACAGGTATTTCCTACTCTCTACCCAGGCCACGAGAAACAGCAGTGAGAAACAGCAATGAGGTCTCTGAGTTCTGCTGTGCAACTCGCTTAGGCAAAGGCAGGCTGTGACAGGCAGGGCCCAAAAGTGAGCCTCAGGGATCATCCCCTCGATGAGACCCCGCTGGGGGTGGGGGCAGGGTGGGGTGGAGACACAGCCGGATTCTCTCCCCAACAGTGTTTACTGTACTGATAGCAGCAGGAGTGGTCAACCCCTAATGTAAAACATCGGTGACCAAAGCAACAAGCCTTTCCCTCCCTGAAAAAAACAAAAACTTAAAACCTCAACGTGAACAAAAAGCTTTCATAGGAAAATAGAGATTTTATATTGCACACTCCTTGTACTGGGGGATGGTGAGGAGCCCAACTAGAGAAGGGACCAGTGGTGTGGGACAGAATTGATCTCTGGTGGCCTCTGCCTGCAGCAGCTTAAAGCAGGGTTTCGGTTAGGCCAGAGGTTGAAGTCAGGCCTCGGCAGTGAGCATGCTGAATCCTAGCCACTAGACCACCACCACCAGTGGCCAGTGACAAGGCCCTGGCCCGTCAGCTGTGTAGAAATGAATTTCCACGTAGAGATGGAAAGTAGTGAAGCAAGTGAAGTGTTTATTAGGAGGAAAAAGGGTACGTGTGGATAGACACATGGGCGGTCTCAGAGGAGAGTCACGCCCTCATGGTAGTTTGAATCATTTTTATGGGGCATTTCTGCCGGGTTTCCTTTGGCCAATCATCTTGCTTTGCCTCGTTCTGAGTCTGTATTTGGTACATCTCAGGGTCCTCCCATGAGTTGTGGGCACATCTCTTAGCCAAGGTGGATTCTAGCGAAGAGGCCTGTGGGAAGGTTGACATCACTTACTATGGGGCGGCACCCCCTCCCTTTTTGACCCAAGGAGCCTTTCTGCACATGTGTAGTCAGGAAGGTCTCCTTGACTGAGAATGAGAATGAGGAATCTGTGGTCTTTTATCTCTTACCTGGGCGGGGCCCAGCCTTCTCTCTCTCTCCTGCTGTTATGGAGTTTCTGTCCACAGGGAAGAAACTTCAGCTGTTCAGCCTGGGGCCCATCTATCTCCTGCCTCAGAACCAGCAGACTTGAGTTCCAAAAGCCTTGAGTGGGGAGCATGAAGATAAAGAGAGTCATTTCATACCTCCTTTCTGAGGATGCATCAATATTTTCACAAACAGGGCCTTTTCTCTGTGCCTAGCATAGTGGTGAATATATCATATTCATTACCCACTTAATACAGCACCCCTCGGGGGAGGCACTCTTATTACCCCTCATGTTTCAGTGAGGCTTAGAGTTTAAGTCCAAAGCTTTTGGCATTTAGATCTTTGAAAAACATGAAATGCACAGATATTACAAGAAGGCTGCAGGGTGCCGGGTATCTGAAGACCACTGAGCACAGGGGTAACTGCCACCTGCTAGTGTCTGATGAGGGGCCTGCTCTGTATCCAAGAGGGGAATGGTTTGGGGGCCTCTTCTGGGTCTTGCTAATTTTCAATTTTTCTAATTACCAAAATAAGGACTGGGCCCTTTTATCACACTGCAGAGGACACCTTGCAACTCTGGATCAAATTGTTCTTTGATTTTTGCATAAAAACTACTTTCTAAAAATAGCATGCTTCCTCCAAAGATGAAATAGTCTTTGATACTGATTTAATGTTTTAAACCTTTAAATGGGAGGTTAATTAAAGATGCCATTAAATAAACTAGTAGGGAATTGGTGAGCCTGGCCGCCATGAAGCCTTCCAAAAGCTGGGTCTGTGAGCTTCCAGGACCAGGACCTGCAGATCTCAGTGGGCAAAATTCAGGAGACACGAGGAGGTTGCCTCATACCTTCGTGAAGCATCTGTAATGGGAGTCATGACAAATATATTTTTAGACTTAAGGGTTATTAAATCGAAAACCATAATTTAGTTACATATGAAAATAAGTATATATATGACTTTAAATCAATAGAAAGTTCTTTATGAGCGACGTGGGTTGTACACTAAAAACCGTGAATAAGCTAAAGGATTATATTTCTTTGAATAAAAAGTTTTAAAATTGTTCAGTTTATAAGAAGATATTGAATCCAAACCTTTCTGACAATATTTAACGTTTTATAAGTAGTTTGTAAAATCTACAGTTTCTTTTATTAAATTTTGTGTTTTCAAATATACACAAAAGCTAGGATGATGATTCAATAACATTTGGTTCAACAATCAACCTTTGCCAATCTTAAGTGTTATTTTCCTCCACACTTTTCTTTTCTTGGTGTTTTTTAAGGTAAATCTCAGACATCACGATATTTCCTACATCAAATAAGGTTTTGAAAATATGCATCTTATAAATGGAAACTGTAGAAAAAGGAAGGGAAATGTCTTGCCAGCAAGACAGGATTGAGGCTAGAAATAGGATGAATGTCCCATCTCTGGCTGTTTGCTTAGGATCTGAAGTTAGCTCTGGATTGAGGGTAGAAATAGGATGAATGTCCCATCTCTGGTTGTTTGCTTAAGATCTGAAGTCAGCTCTGAGGAGGGAATGGGCTGAAGGCTTAGGGGTGATAAAACACTCTGACACTTGCTCTCATTTACTTAAAGGTCTTACAAAGAGTTTTGCATTTCACTAGAAGGAGCCCAGGTTTGCTTAGTTAATAAGACCCTGCTGGAAGGGGTTGCCGGGGAGCAGCTGGAGGCCCTCTGGTGGGCAGGCAGACCAACACCCCTCCCCCCTCCCACCCCTCCCCCCTCCCCCGCCCTGTCCAGGGAAGGTCCTCTTTCTTGTTATCAGTTGTAAACAGATAAGACTGGAGCCGACCCACCCATCAGACTCCTTTTGAGCTGACATGAAGTGTGTGGGAATTGGGATACCCTGTCTCAAGACTGGAGACCACCCCACCACTATGTCTTCAGTACATCAAACAGTCACTGAGGAATATGTTCAACAACAAATTAAGTGTGAGAGAATTCTCTGGGAGCAGGTCATTGATGTGTACTTATTGGGGTTTCCAGGAAGCTCTTAAAACGTGCTTAGGCCACACCTCAGGCCCTCTGCTCAGAACCCCCAGGGCAGGGCAGAGCTAGCGTCAGGATTTTTAAACCTGCCCAGGTGTTTCTAGTGTGCTGCCAAGCCTGGGACGTGTCCAAGTCCTCCTTGGCTGTGCGCTCCCTAGAATGGAAATGCTCAGCACAGCACCTGGTGCACGGCACCACACAACAGTCAATGCCCTATCATACCCACTTTTCAGTGAGGAAATTGAGATTTAAGAAGTTAAGAAACCACCTTTGGGATAGATGACTAACAAATAGCTGTGCAGGGCCTTGAACCTGGGTTCATCTGATCTAAAATCTGTGTTTGATTCAAGTTGCTTTAGAATTATTGAGTGTTTAATGTAGACTAGGTATACTATACTCACTAGTTACACAGATTGCTTTGTTTTATTGCCATCACATCCTTAATGAGATAGGAGGGGGGCAGGGCACAGCCTTTAAAAGAATGACAGCCATTGAGGACATGACAGAAACCGGTGAGAGCCAACTAGGTCCAAGATGGTGGACGACTGACTTCCACTAGACCTTGAGTCTCAGTATACACTCATCGTAATACATGAGCATCCTAAACGACACATCCACAGGTGCCATGAAAGTTCCCAGGCAGATCATAAAAGACCAAAAAGTGGACGGTGGCCCAATTCCTGGAAATCCCTGCCCCTTCCCCCAAATAGTTGGAATAATCCCCCCACTTATTAGCCTATGAAATTACGCAGCCCTATAAAAGCTGACAACCCCGTACCCTGGCGCCTCTCGCCTTCTGAGATGGCCCACACTCTGTCTGTGGAGTGTGTTTCTTCCTGAATAAACCTTTCACTTTACTGTGGCTCGCTTTTGAATTCTTTCCTGCATGAAGCCAAGAACCCACACTCGGTGGCCGTCCCAGGGACTTGCCTGAGACCTGGCATGTGACCATCCTCTCACGCCCCACTTTCTTTCCTGCAACGTTATGACATTGATACTAATTTCTACATTTTGTAGGTGCGAAAAATGAGGTTTCAAGAGTTGAGGACTTGCACAGTGCCTCACAGCAGTGACCAGCAGTCAGAGCCGAGCTACTGCTCCAAATCCTTCCTGTGTGCCCACCTGAACCCGGCTGAGGGCTTCTATGGGACACAGTGGAGGAGAGTGGATGGAGAGACACTGCCCCCTCCTGCAGTAAGGGAGGGATTTAGAGAGCAGAAATCATGTACTGAGGTGGTCACAGGAAGGGGCAGGGCACTGACTGCTGGAGGGAAGGAGGCCTCAGGTGAATGACAGTAGGGACAAGGGTGGAAGGGCAGGAAGAGAGGGTGTGGGTGGAGACATTTGATGCAGGTCAGATGATGGGGAGCCTGGATGCTCTTCCCCGAATTCATGCAGACCTGAATAGGGATCAAGTGGGAGTTCAGAGAAAAGAAAAGTTAAATATGTTACACATATTTAACAACCAATGTCATTTTTCTCTGA